AAATCGAAAGATATATAGGGACTTTGGTGGACCATTTACATTAAATCGGACGAAAATATATATGGGAGCTTTATCTAAATCTGAACCGATTTTCAGGAAACTTAACACACATCATTCTATACTTCATTCATTACGCTGTGCCAAATTTCGTGCAAATCGATTTTTTATAAATGGTGCACCATTTATATAAAATCGGACGAAACTATATATGGGAGCTATATCTAAATCTGAACCGATTTTTATCAAACTCAGCACACATCATTCTGCACCTAATGCAGAACGCTTTGCCAAATTTCGTGCAAATCGAATAATATATAGTGACTTTGGTGTACCATTTACGTAAAATCGGACGAAACTATATATGGGAGCTATATCTAAATCTGAACCGATTTTCACGAAACTTAGCACACATCATTCTAGACTTAATTGAATACGATATGCTAAATTTCGTGCAAATCGAAAGATATATAGGGACTTTGGTGGACCATTTACATAAAATCGGACGAAACTATATATAGGAGCTATATCTAAATCTGAACCGATTTTAATGAAACTCAGCACACAACATTATAGGCCTAATTTATTACGCTGTTCCAAATTTCGTGCAAATCGAAAGATATAAAGGGACTTTTGTGCACCATTTACATTAAATCGGACGAAAATATATATGGGAGCTATATCGAAAGATATAAAGGGACTTTTGTGCACCATTTACATTAAATCGGACGAAAATATATATGGGAGCTATATCTAAATCTGAACCAATTTTTCCCAATTTCAATGGGGTTCGTCCTTGGGCCAAACAAGTGAACTGTGCCAAATTTCATCCAAATCGGATCATAAATGCGACCTGTACTTTGTTCACAAAAATACATGGACGGACAGACGGACATGCGTAAATGACTCAGAAAGTGATTCTATGCATATTCTCAAAAGGAACTATGGGTCTATCTCGATTCCTTTTACCTGTTACAAACATATGCACAAAGACATAATACCCTGTACCACAGTGTGGTGAAGGGTATAAAAACATGTAAGGAAAAGTTCAAAAGTCGGAAGGGGCCGACCACCACTTGCGTATCTACAAGATTTGCTAATATGTACAATATCCTGTAGATGGAACTACATTGCCTCTTTGAGAACCATTGAAATGGAATCGGTTGAAATTAAATGTGTGGTCTACATAGATATTTGAAACATGCATATACCATTCTGATATCTACAACAAATTGCATGTCTATCGGGCAGACATAATTTTTTTGGTGTACCATTTGTATGAAATCGAGTAAAATTATGTATGGCAGCTATATGTAAATCGCGACCTAATTGAGCAACCGTGACATACACCATTTGTTATGCTTTCCACAATTTCATCTCGGTGCACAAATTGCATGAACTCAGGCGAAAATATATAGGGTTCATATTTACATCTATTATTTGTTACAAAATCAGATAGCGTTATTGTAGCACCAATTTGATGTGTTGTGCAGAAATTCGTCTCAATCGGAAAAACTATAGTTATTTAGTACACCATTTAGATGAAATTGGATGGAAATATATATATGGAAGCTATATCTAAACCTGAAAAGATTTCAACAAAATTTCACGGACATCAAACTGGACCTAAAATTTCGTTCCAATCGGACAAACTTTGATAGTTTGGTACACAATTTACACAAAATCTGTCGAAAATATATATGAGAGCTATATCTAAATCTGAACCTTTACTCACTTACTTACTTAGCCGGCTTGTTACAGAACGGTTGTTCCATAAGCCGAGCTTAAAAAAATTTCCAAGCGCGTCGGTCTTGTGCGCAAGTCCACCAATTTGGAAGACCACGTTCCAAGATGTTGTTTTCTACTTGGTCTTTCCATCTAATTCGTGGCCTTCCCCTTCTACGGGAACCATCAGTAGGCTCATTTTTCATTTATCCGCACAACATGGCCTAGCCACCGTAGTCGCTTCAGCTCAATACGACTGACTATGTCGATGTCCGCGTATAAATTGTAGAGCTCGTGGTTCATTCGACGCCGATATTCACCGTCGACGCAGATCGGCCCGTAGATCTTTCGGAGAATTTTTCTCTCAAACACCCCAAGCGCTGCCTCATCTGCTTGCGCAAGTACCAATGCTTCTGATCCATATAATAGCACGGGTAGTATCAGCGTCTTGTAAAGTGTGAGTTTGGTCTGGCGGGAGTTTGGTCTGGCCTTGTTTCTAAACTGCTTACTTAGACCATAGTAGCATCTGTTGGCCTTCACAATACTTCTCCGAATTTCAAAACTTATATCATTCGTTTTATTTATGGCGGTACCAAGGTATATAAAGTCTTTAACTACCTCGAAGCTGTAGTTCTCAAGTTCCACAGTTGGTACGAGTCTACAGGACGTCTTGCGCGTTGATACCATCAGCTTGGTCTTCTCGCCGTTTACTGCCAGACCCACTTTGGCAGACTCCTTTTCAATTTGTTCAAAGGTGGCTGTTACCGCTCGCAATGTTCGACCCATTATATCGATGTCATCGGCGTAGGCGAGTAACTGGTGTTGTTTGGTGTACAGAGTGCCATTTCTGTTCACCTTTGCGTCTCGTATGACCTTTTCCAGTAGGATGTTAAAAAGATCACACGACAAACTGTCACCTTGTCTGAATCCTCGTTCGGTATTGAAGGGCTCCGATAGGTCCTTTCCTACTTTAACGGCTGACCTTGAGCCACTTAAAGTTATCCTGCATAGCCGTATTAATTTTGCAGGAATGCCGAACGCAGACATGGCTTTAAACACCTCTGAACGGATAGGGCTGTCGAATGCGGCTTTATAGTCGACAAATAGGTGGTATGTGTCGATGTGTTTTTCGTGGGTCTTTTCCAGGATTTGGCGTAGAGTGAAAATCTGGTCAATGGTGGATTCGCCAGGTCTGAAGCCGCATTGGTATGGTCCGATGATGTCATTGATCATTGGCTTCAATCGTTTACACAGCACACTGGATAGCACTTTATATGCGATGGGAAGGAGACTTATTCCTCTATAGTTGGCACATATCGTCTTGTCTCCTTTGTTGTGCACGGGACACAGGATGCTGAGGTTCCAATCATTGGGTATGCATTCATCTAGCCAAATTGTGTTAATCAGCTGGTGCATGCTCCTGACCAGCATCTGGCCACCAGTCTTGAATAGTTCGGCTGGTAACCCATCAGCTCCTGCTGCTTTGTTGTTCTTGAGCCGATTAATTGCTTTTATGACATCATCTTGGCTAGGTGGTATACACTCTATACCATCATCTCTTATTGGTTCTGGGGTATCTTCTTCATAGCCACTATTTGATACTAGTAGATTTTCGAAATGCTCCTTCCAGATCCTCAACACGCTGTCTGTATCTGTCACCAGGTTTCCTTCTTCATCTCTGCAGGAGGATGTGCCTGCACCAAAAGCATCGGTATGGTGTTGTACTCGTTGGTAAAATTTCCGGACTTCATTCTGACTACTGTACATCTCGATGTGCTCACGCTCACGTTTTTCTTGTTCTTTCTCCTTTTTTCTGAAAACACGTTTCTCCCCTCTCCTTTTCTCCCGATAATTCTCCATCACGTTACGTGTTGCTACTGTCTAAATCTGAACCGATTTCAACAAAACTCCGCATACGTCTTGAGGGACCTAACTCAGTACGTTGGGAGTTTGGTTCACTAGTTACACGAAATCGAACGAAACTATATATGGGAACTATATCTAAATCTGAAGCGATTTCAACAAAACTAACTCAGTACTCATTGGTCACTCAGAAAGTGAGTGTGAATGTCTATCTCGTTTCCTTTTGCCTATTACAAACATATGCACAAAGGCATAATACCACAGTTTGAAGAGGGGTATAAAAATACAACCGAACAGTGAATGGTGGTACGAACAGTGAATGCTGGAATGCATATGGTTTCCATAACAAAGAAAGGGAAGAAAAAATGAAAATTGTTTTGATGATAATGAAATGTTAACATTTTTTTTTTAAATTGTGACTTTCTCACGTAGTAAGAATTTTTACTTGTGTTATATAAAAGGTTTATATTTATAAATGACCTATAGAATATCTACCATTCTACAGAAGACCTTTAGAACCTTTTACAATATTTTTCATGTGTTGAGGCCAATAGAAATCTTATATGCACACGGGTTTTTTTTAGAAAGTATTCAATGTAGAGATGACCTTCTCAAAATATTCTGTAGAAGGCCTCAAAAAATATGTTTGTTTGCCGTTCTGTTAAAATTTCGGCAATTTTAACCCTTTAAGCCCCGAACTTTTTCCACAATCTTAGAACAAATTCCTGTTCACAGATTTAATGCAACTATCCTAAATAGGATATGCACAAAATTTGACATCGCTACATCCTTGCATTCGGTAGATACAGTACATTCTTTCGGAAGAATTAAAGTCCAGTATAAAGAAAACTAAATGTAAAATCGACAGAAAACTCATTTTAAATTATTCTCTATATTCATTTTTACAAGAATCAAAAATAATTCTGATGACAGCATTCGTACAATTTGAATACGAAGCGATTTAAATAATGTGGACTGTAGTACTGTACACAATTTTACCCTCTTCTCTATATTGAAAAGCTCATAGCATTACCAAAATTTTGAATTTTTTTGATTTTTTTTTATTTTTCTTTTAATATGTGTCGTCCATAATCAGGTCTTGGCATATGAAATCCAAAAAAAAAAAAATCTCGCCAATAGTCAAAAATTTTTTAAAAATTTCTCTTTACAAAAAATATTTATTAAAAAATATTGAGAAGTAAAAAAAAACAGTATGATTCACAGATGTCTGTATGTACGTGTCAGCATTAAAATATAAACAATAAAAACCTTATCCTTAGTACGAGAGAGTGGGTGACAAAGTCACATCATTTCAAAAACCAAAGGGGGGAGGGGCAGCCATTTTCAATTATCCAAAACATTTCCTCCTAACCATAATAGGCATATGGAGCAGCATAATAACCACTGTAGGCATAGGGAGTACCATAATAGAATTGAGGAGCTGGATTGGGGCCGGGAGCAGCTCTGGGCAATGGAGCTGGTGCTGGCAATGGCGAGGGGCTGGCCATGGACACAGCGAACAAGGCGGCAATGAGAACAAAGACCTATGGAAAAAAATACATTTTGACTTTTATATTGATCGGCAAGAAATTCTTGAGCTTTACTTACAAATTTGAACATTTTGAGTTGTTTTGGAATTTTGTTGTTTCTACTTTAAAAGTTGAAATGCTTCTGCTGCATTTCGTTGCCGCCTCCTTGGGTATTTATAGTTGGGAGATGATAGTTATTTGCTGGATTTCATTTTCAATGCATTTTTTTAATTTGCGATGCTATGCAAATGTGAGGTATTCCCAATTTGTGCATTCTAGAATGGGTTTCTTCCTAGCCATTTCTCGTTTGATAGTGAAGTTATTTTACCGCAATTATGATTATGCGATTGTATCTCTTTTTTTATTAGCGGTCAGTCTATAGATTTCAGACAACGTAGTTTTATTTATTTTGTCATTATCGATGTGATTTGAATGTTAAGTGCCGGAGATTTATTTATTTTATGATAGCTATTAAGTGGTCAACTGAAATGAATGAAATTAAGTAGATGGACTTGATGTGAATCTTGAGAATATCATCAGCAGATAAATGGAGACTTTTCCGAAGACATCCATCAATAAGTGCTATAAATTCAAGCCTTATTTTTTTAAATATCCCGACTTCAAAAAAATTATCCTTTCAACAATTCACGCCTTCAATTTTTTTCCAACAACAATTTTTAAAATTTTTATTTCAAACATCCACACCTTCATCCACGCCTATATATTTTGAAAAAAAATCGGTTTTAATTTTTTACATCAATACCTTTACTTTTAATTTTTTTTTTTTCAAAAAATTCCATGCCTTGATTTGTTTTTCAGAAAAAATCCAATGTTTTAATTTTTTAAGTCCACGACTTTAATTTTTTCAAAGAATTCAACACTTTTAATTTTGTATTCAAAAAATCGATGTCTTTGATTTTATTTTTCAAAAAATCCACGCTTTATATTTTTTTAAATATCCACGCCGCGAAAAAAAAATTATAAATCCAAGCCTTTAATTTATTTCAAAGAATCCAAGCCTTTATTAAAAAAAATCGATTTTTAAGACAACAATTTTTTATAAATACACGCCTTCAATTACCTTTCAAAAAATGCACGCCTTTATTTGTTTTTAAAAAATCCATGCTTTTATTTTTTTACCAAATTCGTGCTTTTTTTTTGAAAAAATCCACGGCTTTAAATTTTTTAAAAAATCCAACCTTTATTAAAAAAAAAATTAAAAAAATCGATACCTTTATATTTATTATCCAACCTTTAATTTAAAAAAAAATCGACAAGTTTATTTTTATAAATCCACGCCTTTATTTTTTTTAATCCACGGCTAAATCCTTTATTTAAATCCACGTCTTTATTGTTTTTTATAAAAATTCACGCCTTTATTTTTTTTTTAATCCACGCCTTTAAATTTTTTTTATAAATCTACGCTTTGAAAAAATATTTTTTATACGCCTTGAAGAAAAAATATTTTTTTATAAATCTACGCCTTGATTTTTTTTTATAAATCCACACCTTGAAAAAGTAATTTTAATAAATCCACGCCTTAAAAATTTGTTTTAAAACTCCTCCTCAAACCAAAATTTTTTATTAATCCACGCCTTCAAACAATTTTTTTTTTAAATCCACATCTTCAAAAAACATTTAAAAACTCACACTTTCGCTTTTTTATGCGTTTAAAAATAGATTTAAAAAATCCGCTTTACACGCACATATTTATACCTTCTAAAGGGGTTCTTTACTGAAGACGCTTCGTAAGAATCCGACTATTGAACCTCATCTATATTTTTCCATTTTAATTTCCCTATTCAAAGTCACACATTTTACTTCCATCCCCATCTTCCATGCTTCAAATTATATTAAATTTTTCAACTCTACTTGACTTTTCTAAAATTTTCTCCTAATATTAAAAATATGTATATGGGTGTGTGTGTTTGTGTGTCCGCTCACCCCCTTTCGTAATCCGTAATCCATCCATTTCCCCCCTTCCTCTTGTCATTAAGTCAACCGTTGTTCAACTGGTTCCATGGTGTAATGGTTAGCACTCAGGACTCTGAATCCTGCGATCCGAGTTCAAATCTCGGTGGAACCTAAAGAATTCTTTTTCTGCTATTTTGTTATTTTCATTCTCAGTGGAAGTTTGTGTAGTTGGTAAGTCTTAAAATATATAAGCAATAGTGTTGCCAACCAACAATTAAATTTCTAGCAGAGGCAAAAATACAATATTGGCAACACTAACTGGATTGTGTCAAAACTATGTGTACTAAAGTGTGAGCTAAAAATAGAATTAAAAACAAAATGTGAGAAGAGGAAGAGAAATAAAAATAGCTTTTAGTACATGAATGAGTAGCCACATCTGTTTGGGGGATTTTTGTTAGAGTTGAGGTAAAAATAATAAAGAAAAAATATTTCAAATAGCATTTATTCACAGAATTACACGATTGATATATAATCCGCTAATAGATTAACTCTCTAAAGCTGACGTCAGAGTGCAAACAAGAAGCGATGCGATACTACATGCTATAATAGTTCATGCTACTTCAATGCTATAATATGTCAAAGTTAGTGCTACAGAGAGCCGAGCGTGTTGTTTGTTTACATCGCCTATTTCAGTGTAAATTAGTGTTCATTGACTCAAGATGAATTCAGACGAAAACATTTTCATATCGCAAAATATCGATTTCCCTTATTTTTTCCAAATTATTTTATTATTATTTAATTCAATTTGGACTTGAGTCCACATAAATTCCGACAGATTGGTCCATGCCATTAAAATACTTTTGAATCTTTTCGCATTTTAATGGCATGGATCAATCTGTCGGAATTTATGTGGACTCAAGTCCATGCTCGGGATAAGTAAATCGACTTTCGACTAATCGATTAATGGACTTTTTGTATTGAAAAGTCTAAAAGTCGAAGTCGACTTTTAACCTTTGAGAAAATCGCAAAGTCGACTTTTCAAGATCGACATTCGATTTTCTTCACAAAGCCGAAATTGTCCAAAAATTACACAATTCAGAACTTTTTTCATCTGTTGACAACAATTCTTATAAAAATTACATTTTTAATCGATTATGCTTTAGTTGGTAAAAGTCGAAAATCGATTTTGAACAGGTTTGACAAAATCGAAAGATCGAAAAGTCGACTTTTTAGTCAAAGGCAAAAATCGAAAAGTCTAAAAGTCGACACACGCGGAGGTTTATAGCGTCGTCTAGCGGCATATCATAGTATCGCTTCTCGCGCGCACTCTGACGTCAGCCTAAAACGGAAAGCAATGATTAAATTAATGTTGTTTTTTTTAAATCCCTTAAAAATAATTCAACGCTGATCTTTGTTGTTCAGAAATATACTACAAATATTAAAGATGTGACAGGAAATATTTTTTTTTATTATTTACTATTATTTTTATACAAAAAATGTATTTTTTTAAAGGAACGGAAATGGCAAACCGAATAAATAGCCTGTTACTTGTTTATATCCTCAGTCTTATGGCTAATGAGGGTATATACACTTTGATACGTTGAAAATGTGCCTCATCGAAATATTGATTTTAGACCCCCCAAGTTTCTTTGGACCAAAATGGTCCAAATTGTGCTAAAAATTAATTTTATAATAACATGAACACAGACTATCTGATTTATATCAAGTTGGAAGATGGAACCCATAGGTCCCATGTTTCTTTAGTCCGAAGATGGGACTCATTGGTCAAATTCCTCTGGTCAATATTTTCAATATTTATAAATCCATAGGGTGAGTGTATATATCTGTCGGCACTTTTTTAATTGTTTTAAAATAAACTTATAGTAAAAATGTTTTAGGAAGAAATGGGTAATTTATTAACGTTTAAAGAACAAAAAATTTAATATTTAATACCCTGAGCCTTATGGCTAATGTTCCTCATCGATATATTGGTTTTAGACTCCATGTTTCTTTGGTCCAAATCCGTTTCACAAAATTTGCAGTCGATTTACACATGTCCGTCCGTGCGTTGTCTGTTGTCGTTGTCTGGTGCGCACGATAACTCTCGAAGGGTATACTCGATTTGATCGAACCTTTGCACATCTAAATATTTATTTCAAACTTAGTTCGAAGATGGAGAATATCCACTCCTTTGGTCAAAATTGTGCTAGAAATTAATTATATAATACTATGCAAACGGACTATCCAATTTTAACGAAACTTTGTACAACCTATTATTTATACCAAGCCTAGATCAATTAGGAAGATGGGACCCATTGGTCCACTCCTTGTGGTACCACCCCACATAGAGTCAAAATTTTCAATATTTATAAATCCAATATCATGCAAATGGAATGTCCTATTTGAACCAAGCTCTGCATAACCTGTTATTTTTGCCAAGCCTAGATCAAGTCCGAAGATGGAACCCATTGGTTCACTCCTTCTGGTATCTCTTACACAAATAGTCAACATTTTCAATATTTATAAATCCAATATTAGGCTAATGGAGTGCCCGACTTGAACCAAATTTTGCACAACCTATTATCTTTACCAAGCCTAGATCAAGTCCGAAGGTGGTACCCGTCTGCCCTCTCCTCTGGTACGACCTAAAAAAAGTGTCAATATTATATATTTGATCAACATAAAATCCGAAACATCTTTAATTAAACATATGCCTTCTATAAAACGAATAATACAATTTGTGTATAACTGCAAATACCTCTCCCGCAAAACATAGGGTGATGGTATATATCTGTGAATTTATCTGACTGATTTGATTTTTTTGTTACTAGAATTGTTATTGTTGAATTGTTATTGTTGAATATATAGCTCCCATATATATGTTCATCCGATTTCAGGTTTAAAATACACCAAATCGGTAATATACAACGGATTGCGATGAAGTTTGGTTGGTACATTTTTTTTTTTGAGTCTGCAAATAAGTGTGTCGTATTTGGAAGAAATCGGTTCAGATTTGGATATGGCGTCTATATATATTTTCATCCGATTTCAGGTTTAAGATACACCAAATCGGTAATATGCAACGGATGGCGATGAAATTGGGTTTGTACGATTTGTTTTGAATCTGCATATAAGTGTGTCGAATTTGGTTAAAAGCGGTTCAGATTTAGATATAGCTCCAATATACATGCTCTATCCGATTTCACGTCTATGTAACTCAAAACCCACAAAATACATCCGATCATCGTAAAATTTAGTTTGCATGTTTTTTAAAGGCTAAAAACAACTCAGAAATTTGTTTCAGATCGGGTCAGATTTAGATATAACATCCATATAAATGTTCCATCCGATTTCACGTTTAAACCACGCCAAAATCACAATACACACCCGATCATAACGAAAATCAGAAATGTCTCAGCCAAATTTGGTTCAAATCGGATCTGAAAGTCAATATATCAAATTACTTTAACTCTTTCAAGTCTTAATAGGTTAAACGGTTATTTTCAAGTATAGTGTCGCAAACATAAAAATGTTTTGATTTAATATAAATATGGTCACTTGTATCTATATTTTCCATTTTACACTAATTAACTATTGTAAACAGAATCGAAATAACACGCACTCAAAGCTGACCAAGCACCACTGAAATATAAGCATATTTATAGAATAACTTATATTGAGCGACTTGCACGGCCAGATGTGTAACGGTACCTCATATTTAGCACTAAAAAATATCACGTCTCTCTATTTTGGAGTGTTCTAAATACAAAAACAACAATAACTCGTGAAAAGCCACACTTTGATTTTTTCAATTTTGCACAGAAAAACCGGTCATTTGCACAGAAAAACATGTCATGTTTTATGGAAGTTTTTACTCTCTTATAACATTTAAAAAAAAAATGGTTCAATATCGGCCCAAAATTTTGCAACCCTGTTTATCACAAACGTTTTTCTTCCGTTACGCGTCATTTTTGGTATGTCCGAGGTCTTAGCTCAACCTCATTGGGGTCAATTCCAATTATGCATGCATCAAAATATTATAAAAATAAAATAAGAAAATTGAAAAATTTTCGAAAAAATGTTCTTTAAAAAATATATAAGAAGCATAACAATTCACGCTACTTTGAGACCTTCAAAAAATCCATGCTTCTTTAAGACCTTAAAAAATATTCTTCTTCTTTAAGACCGTAAACAAATTAAAAATCCACGCTTCTTTGAGACCAATAAAAAATATTCTTTCAAAAATATACCCTTTTGTGAGATCTTTAAAATTTAAGAAATATTCTGTAAAAAATCCACGCTTTTTGAGACCATTAAAAAACATTCTTTAAAAAATTTCCTTAAGAATATAATTAAAAAAAAAATCACCCTTCTATTGGTCCCTGAAAAAAAAATATTCATTAAAAAATCCTCGCTTTATATCCCACAACATATTCATTATTTGTACGATATGGCAAGCCAATTTTGTCATTATTTTCAATTACAATTGACAGAGAACGAGAGAGAGAGAGAAAAATCAAATCTCATTGAGTCAACAACAACGAAGTCAAAGTTGGCAGCGCTGCAGCCGCTGTAACAGCAGCCCCAACGAGTAGAGAGGTAGATAAACAAACAAACCGAGATTCGTGGCTGAAGGTAACGGTAACACACGGACGGAAGGAAAGCGACCGAACGAATGAATGTTGACTAGTTAATGTGAGAAGAATCATGTGTGATAACAGAACGACATCTGAGTGTTGCAGATTTGATAAACGGAAACCAAGAAGAAGAAAAAGCATAGATAAGGAATAAAAACAAAATAGAAAAACAGTTTTCTGAACTAAAAATCAATTTTCTCTAGTTAGCCTTTCGGTGTAGAAGGACCAAAAAGTGGCAGGACAAAATTAATTTGTCAAAAGTGTATCTACGTTTGTAACAGCTGCATCACAATTTTTATTGAGTTATCTTCATCTTACTCCGCTTACACTTCTTCTTCTGGGTGCCAAAGAAAACAGACAAACAAAATAAAAATAATGGACTTTGCTGTCGCTGTACTTTCGAAGTAAATGTGTGGTCGGAAGTGCGTGGCGTATTGTGTGTTTTTATTTTTTTGCAAGACATCGCGTGTTGCCTCCTCTTCGACCCTCTCCGACAATCAAACAAATCTCAGACAAATCACGAAGTTGTGCATTTACAAAAAGAAAAGAAAATCGTCGATGAAACTAAACGGAAAACCAACATGAAACGACTGTTGCTTCCTCACTAACCACGACGGAATCACGACGTTCCCGACAATCTCTTAACCTCCGTCCGTCGCCAAACTGTCTACCGTGTTCGGTTAACACAATCATTCGGCTGCATAACTTGCATTGTGTCCTACAAGTGGATATTGCCCCCACACCACCGCACCTTCTTAACGCTTTGAGTCGAATAAGAATTCCGAATTCCCGTCACTAACCTCTTACTATGCTCATTAGCACAATGAAAATCCTCGTTGCACTTGGACTCAGTTTAATGTTTACCATATCCCTGCTGAAGTTGACCATCATATTTTGGCATACCTATCCCACACTGATGGAATATGGCTTTGGCAGTGATTTGCCCAGTGTGGAGGAATGGTTGGAGGAGCAGAACCTAACCGATTATAAGGAACTATTTCACAAACATGGTAAGTAAAGATAATCAATCTACCTGTTACCCCTTTAGGTTGGAGATTTTTATCGATTGAGAGGTGTGCCACCCACCCTCAACGAGGTGAATGCATTGTTTTTATTTTTTTCCGTTTGGAATAGTTTTGTTTTGATTTCTTTGTGAAATGTCTCTCACAATGAGATTTCTTTGCTAATTGGAACGATAATCGGTGATGTCAACTATACCCCATTTTTAAAAACGCGAAATGTGAACATTTCAATTCAGGCGGGATTTTGTATAGAATATTTTTTAATGTCCACAAGAGGCGTGGATTTTTTAAATAATATGTTCTTCGGGGTCTATCAGAGGCGTGGATTTTTTAAAGAATATTTTTCAGGGTCTATCAGAGGCGTGGATTTTTTAAAGAATATTTTTCAGGGTCTATCAGAGGCGTGGATTTTTTAAAGAATATGTTTTTTGGGGTCTAGCAGAGGCGTGGATTTTTTAAAGAATATGTTTTTTGGGGTCTAGCAGAGGCGTGGATTTTTTAAAGAATATGTTTTTTGGGGTCTAGCAGAGGCGTGGATTTTTTAAAGAATATGTTTTTTGGGGTCTAGCAGAGGCGTGGATTTTTTAAAGAATATGTTTTTTGGGGTCTATCAGAGGCGTGGATTTTTTAAAGAATATGTTTTTCGGGGTCTATCAGAGGCGTGGATTTTTTAAAGAATATGTTTTTCGGAGTCTATCGGAGGCGTGGATTTTTTAAAGAATATGTTTTTCGGAGTCTATCAGAGGCGTGGATTTTTTAAAGAATATGTTTTTTGGGGTCTAGCAGAGGCGTGGATTTTTTAAAGAATATGTTTTTCTGGGTCTATCAGAGGCGTGGATTTTTTAAAGAATATGTTTTTCGGGGTCTGTCACATTTTTTTTAATTCTTCCTGTTGGGTACCCCATATAACGGTACTACTATAATTCGGCATTTTGTTGGTTTTAGACACGTTTTTCAACCTAAACAGCTTTAATTTAGTATTTTGGATTCTTACAGGGCAAAAAATCTGACTACCAACATTATCGATATTGGTCCACTGTTTCAGGTAAACCCGTTATAACAGTACCTCGGAATATTCGGTATTTTGGTTTTGGACCCGTTGTATGGTGTAAATTGCTATTTTGGTTAGTATTAGTTGGTCCTCCTGTAGCGCGCCCCTATATAACGATACATCGCAAATGTCGGAATCTGATTTTACATTTTAGAAAATCTCACTACCCGGAAACTTGGAGCAATATTGGTCCAAGCTTCCGTGTAGCCCCTTTATAATGTTTCCCTCATTATTCGGTATTTTAGGAGTATTTGGACACGTTCCTCAACCGAATGGGCTCTAATTCAATTTTTCAGGTTCTATAGTGTATCAGATCTCAGATCTTCCTACCAAAATATATAATTATTGATTTACGTTTTTGTGTAGCTCCCACATCCTAATTTCGGCACTTTGAAGGTTTTAGCCGCATTTTCCTATCGATGTTTTTGTATAATTTGGAACGTTACTCTTTTAGGAGCATGAACAAGCTACTACCACATAATGCACCAACATAGTCTTCACATAAAAATACCGACCGATTTAAGGAGTTTTTAAGGGCAAACATCACAACGTTTTTACGTTAGTGAAATAAATTTAAAAAAATTAAAATCTCCATACAAAAAAAATAAAAAAATATATACAAAAAGTTATTTCCTTAGGTTCCACCGAGATTTGAACTCGGATCGCAGGATTCAGAGTCCTGAGTGCTAACCATTACACCATGGAACCGTTGAGTTCGCCGTTGTCAATTGCCCAATAGAGCATGAGGGTTGTTTGCGATTGCTTGTTCATGGCGGTTGATGATGTGAATCAGTTGGTGTGTGTAAATGTGTGTGTGTGTGCCTGTGTGTGATCGAATGTTAACTGAAAGCATGTTGCTAAAAATATCATAGAATCCGCATCGTTTACAGTCGCTTGGTTGAAACGGTAAAGTAAAGAGTAATGATAGGCATTTATGAAAAACGAACAGTAGGTAAAGAATAGGCAATGAATATAAGAATAGTCTAATTCTGCTTTAATAGAATTATGTGACTAAAAAAAATTTGCTACCTGAATGTCTGAAATAATAGTAAATAGTAAAGGGTATTTTTTAAAGGAATGTCTTAAAAAAAAAACACACACACAATATTCAGAAAAATAAATGAAATCTGAAATTGATTTTATAGTACGGTCCACATACCCTTCATCACACTGTGGTAGGGATACGTAGTCAAGAGTAAAAGTCGACTTTTCGATTTTTGCCTTTGACCAAAAAGTCGATTTTTAGACTTTTCGATTTTTGCCTTCGACTAAAAAGTCGATTTTTCGATCTTTCGATTTTGTCAAACCTGATTTTTGACTTCTACCAACTTAAGCTGATGTCGATTTTTTTTATAAGAATTGCTGTCAACAGATGAAATAAAGTTCTGGAATGTATAATCTTTGGGCAATTTCGGCTTTGTGATAATAAATCAAGAAAATCGAAAGTCGATTTTGGAAAGTCGACTTTGCGCTTTTCTCAAAGATCTAAAGTCGACTTCAATATTAATCGATTAGTCGATTTACTTATCCCTAGATTCAGCCGATTTAGCTATGTTCATCCGTTGAAATTATGATGGAGATCGCAATATTTAAGTTTGAGTTTTGACATTTTGTGAAATACAGTGAACTCTCGACAATGTGAACACTAAACAGATGTTAAAATATTGGAAAAAAAATTAGGGAATTAGCGGTAAAAAACTGGTGGAATCGAAAATGTGAACAAATCCGAAAATATGAACTAGGGATGAGTAAATCGACTTTCGACTAATCGATTTTTTGTATTGAAAAGTCTAAAAGTCGAAGTCGACTTTTGATCTACGAGAAAATCGTAAAGTCGACTTTTCAAGATCGACTTTCGATTTTTTTCATAAATACTTGTTTTTTTTTATCACAAAGCTCAAATCAGCCCAAAAATAACAATAATAAAATAACAACAATAAAACTCCTTGTACATTAGAACTTTTTTACCGGGTTAACCTACTTTATGAGGATTTATTTGACATATATGCAAAGGAAATGGCAATTGAAACCCACTGGGTTAACGAAATCCGGTTAAATGTAAACGTACTGTAACAATCACAATAATTTATATAAAAATTAAATTTTTAGTCGATTTTGCAGAAGTCACTAAAATTCGAAAATCGATTTTGAACAGTTTTGACAAAATCGAAAGATCAAAAAGTCGACTTTTTAGTCAAAGACAAAAATCGAAAAGTCTAAAAATCGACTTTTTGATCAGAGGCAAAAATCGAAAAGTCTAAAAGACGACTTTTGCACTCGACTACGTATGCATAATATGAACTTCCCCGACAATAAATTAGTTCACATTTTCGAGAGTTCACTGTACATTTTTACTACTCCTGGGATTTTTGGTATTAAAATTGGAATACATCGGTCCTCATTTCGGCATATACCCCATATAACGGTAACACCAACAATATTTTGGGGATTTACGACAAGTTTTTTTAACCGAATTGGCTGTAATTTAAAACTTCAGATTCCCATTGTGTAACAAATTTTCTCAACAAAAAAAAAAAAAATATATAGACATTGGTCTACTTTTTACGATAGCTGCCATATTATCGGCTATTTGCCGAATTTTGGCATGTATTTTCCTATTGGATAGTAAATCTTCCGGTATTTCGGGGAGTTTGGGCGCATTTTCTAAACGAATTGGCAACTTCTGCTTTTACTACTTTTTAGGGTAGCCCGGATGTATGAGGCCGTTTGGGTATGTATCTCAATTGAATTGGCCATAATTTAGTATTTTTAATTCTATTGGGGTAGGGAATCTCCCTACCAAAAATCATCGATACCTGTCCACTTTTTTTTCATAAATCCCATTTAACGTTACCCCCAATATTTAGAGCAAGTTTTTAGTCAATTTGGTTCTCATTGGGTTTCAATTTTTCATACCAAAAATGTGCCATAGATAATAGCGCGATACTTTCGAAGGTCCCGAATGATTACAGGTATGTAGAGGGTATAAAAAATGGACCCGGCCGAACTTAAAATGTTCGTCAAATCGTTTCAACTTTTTTGCTCAGGCCTAATTTGTTATACCCGTTTTATACGACCTTGATTCTAGGACAAAACATGATCATCAGATGTTAATCGATAATCCGAAAAATTGCTTTGTTTGGAAAGAGAAAATGGGCGGTCCGTTATATAGAGCCAGGAATTTATAAAAATACATACTGATTATTTTGATATTTGATGTTCGACATGGAGCCATGTAACTTGGATGTAAATTCCACTAAAGACTTTATCGGGAAAATGTCATCAATTAAATATACGGTTTTTATATCTTTGTAATTATGTTAGAGAGTTTTAAAATTTGGTATTTGGTCCACCCTGAAATAAGTTCTAGATTTAAATTCCATAATTGATCTATATCTTGTTCATGATTTTAGTCGCTATACAGCCAATAATTGTGATGCAGAAATGTAAACCCATGGATATTCAGGGTGGGTCCTATTTTACTCCTAAAGCTTCAGATAAATATGCCGGACACTGAATATTTTTGTACTTTTAATTTTCCAGAAAAATTGTTGCACTTTACAAAGGAAAGTGTTCACGTCGAATAAAAAATGTTTGTAGCAGCACAGACACAACCCTCCATATTATTCGATATCAATGGAATTATCGATAGTTATAATTTCAGATCATTTATCTGCGATTATTTTAAATTGGCTTTGGGTGTTGCCATAGCTTTGTTATCGACGGGTTCATCACTTGGTAGTACCGCATTTGAAGGTATATAGATGGCGCCATATTATGAGCGACATTTTTATACCCTTCACCACACTGTGGTACAGGGTATTATGTCTTTGTGCATATGTTTGTAACAGGCAAAAGGAAACGAGATAGACACATGGTTCCTTATGAGAATATGCTTACAATCACGTTTTAAGTCGATTTATGCATGTCCGTCCGT